TCAGACGCTTGCAGAAAAAGGCTAACCAAAACAAAGTTACTGGGTTAATCTTTCCTTGGTTGGTAGATGCACCGGGGACCTGATTATAGCACTTAAAAAAAAGTCATGAAAAAGTCAGATTTTCATTATATGTCACCTTTAATTATTGTTTTGTCTCATTTTAAATCATTTTAAGTAATCTTGAGGGCACTTTGTAAGTATGCTGATGCCCCCTGGTCCCTGGCCCCCTGGTTGAGAACCACTGCCATAAAAAAAAAGATCTTTCACTACTAGCGCAAATATCAAAGTAGCATGGTTTTGTTTTGTGCTTCCATTTCTTTAACATTGTAACTACATAGCAGCTTTTTGTTAGCAATTCTAACATGTAAAAGTCATTTTTTTTTCTCTTTCAGGTGACGTATCAGAACTTTGGCAGGGGGAATTATGGGTCTGCTGAGTGTGGAGCAGCTAACATGGCTGACACCAACTGGCTGGTATCACACTGTGAGTCTGAGCTAGACTGGATCTGCAAAATACCGAAAGGGAAGGTGGAAGAGGAACCTGAGAGCCATGAAGGTCTGTCGCAGTGCACTCGTTCTTGCCTTTGAGAATATAAGACTGTAATATTATCAAAAGAAAAAGCTTCACAAGTTTGTTTGTGAGCTGAATATGATTTTGAATCTCAGTAATGTGACATTATTGTACATTTGTGTGTGTAGACACTGGCTTAGAGTGGGTTAATTTTGAGGAGGCCCAGTATAAAATGTTTGAACATCGCTCCACGTGGGACCAGGCTCAGAGAATCTGCTCCTGGTTCGAAGCCTCCCTGGTCTCCATGCACTCTCCTAAGGAGAATCAGTTTTTGGTTAGCACTTTACGCAAGGTAAGCACACATAGCAGACACAACCAAACACTCTCCTCTAAGAGGTCTGCTTATGACATTAAATTGACAACAGTTAAACCATCAGTTCACCCACAAAGGTAAGGTACAAAAGGTATAAGGTACAAAAGCTGTGGCTGTACCTTGTTAAAAGGCACACTTTTGTACCTTATTTACCTCTAAATGACACATATTAGTACCTTAAAGGTACATATCAATACCTAAAGGGTACAAATAGTACATTTTGAAAGGGTACAACACCAGTGACAGATTTTGTACCTTTTTCTCTGTGAGTTTATAAGTATCATAAAAGTATCATTTTGTGTGTCTCAGAACATAGAAAGTAATATGGAGTTGGAAATGAAAAAGTAAACTGTCAGTTTCATTTTGGGATGGGTTTATTTAAAGGGGTCATATGATGCGTTTTTTTAAAGATCATTATTTTGTGTATTTGGTGTAACAGAATATGTTGACATGCTTCTCTCTCTCTCTCTCTCGCTCTCATCGCGCGCACACACACGATGCGCAAAACTCCGCATTTGAACAGTCAATAGCAAATACTTGAACTAATAACAAAACATACTTACAGTCGCTGATTCAGAAGCGCCAGATTGTCATAGCAAAGTCGGAATTTACCCCCTTTTTTTTTTAGAAATAGCCTTTGTGCACAGCCAGCCCTCTACGGACACCTTGGCAATTGAATCGCCATTAGCTAGTAAATTTTTTTGTTTACTCGCCAGACTGATAAAAAGAAAAATTATATATATACAGTGGGTACGGAAAGTATTCAGACCCCCTTAAATTTTTCACTCTTTGTTATATTGCAGCCATTTGCAGGAAAACTTGAAATCGCATCATATGACCCCTTTAAGGCTATATGCGCTTAATCTTAATGCTATATAAAATGTATTTACAATACTAACCAAGAATTGCATGTTAACTGTGTCCAGATGTCCCGCAAAGAAAATGACCTATGGTGGATTGGTTTACACAGTTTTAAGAACGACGGGAGATTAAGGTGGTCTGATCATTCTGTGCTCAATTATGTGTCCTGGGGACTAGGACAGCCTCGACCAATTAGCAAAGAGCCCAAATGTATCCAAATCTCCGCCTCAAAAGGTTTGGTTACTTTTACACACACATATAGAATCAGAAAATATGTCATCTCCTCCTTGAATTTGACATGCACCGGTTTTGACTGCACAATTTAAATAAACTTAAAAAGAGTGCACAGATTTGATGTTCAGAATTTTTGAAGTTATTTTGGGGAATGATATGTGATTGAACAGCAGTGAGTTTAGTAATTACTTTAATGTTCTCTCAGGTGACTGGTCAGACCAGAGGTGTCACATCGATCTGCCATATGTGTGTAAGAGGGTGAATGTGACAGGTACCATTCCTCCCACACCCGCTCCTCCTCTCATACCTGCCGGCTGCCCCCAGGGCTGGAGTCCTTTTCTACACAAGGTGAAAATTCACTCCCACAGCCTATCTGCTTTTATACATTATTACACTTGCAAGGATGAAACAAAGTTTTTCTTTTCTACAGTCTTTTGCAGTTAGCTCAGTTTGGATTCAAATTTAGTTTTGCTGATTATTTGGATAATAAAACCTTTTTGGATCATCTGTTTTTTTCTATACTGTACAGGTGCATCTCAATAAATTAGAATGCCATGGAAAAGTTCATTTATTTCAGTAATTCAACTCAAATTGTGAAACTTGTGTATTAAATAAATTCAATGCACACAGACTGAACTACTTCAGTCTGTGTGCATTGAATTTATTTAATTGATTTTGTCAGGAATTGATTAGATCAAGAAAAGTTATCTATATTTGACAGATTTTTTGGAGAGGAGGGGGTGTAAAAATCTGATTGCAGCCAAAAGGGAAAATTATTCTTGTGATGAAGCAAGATATTTCATTTTGATTACTTTTGTTTTTTTCATTTGGAATGTAAGAGAATACAGCTCTAGCAAAAATTATTATTTTTAAAATGACTTTCTTACAGAAATATTCACGTTGCACATTTTCTTACGTCAGTAATCTCTGAATTCAGTTTTTTCCCTCGTTCTAACAGTGTTATAAGGTGTTTGGAGAGGAGCTGTCGAGTCGTAGCACTTGGGAATCTGCATCCAAGACGTGTCTGACACATAGAGCCACGCTAGTGACAGTGCCAAACCACAGGGTTCAGGGTAAATCAAACCCATGCACTCAGACACACACACACAAACAAAAACCCCCACAATGGTCAAATTTCTCTACATCCAGAAAACAAAGTGTGCATGAATGCAAATGTGTGCGTATGTGTGACTGTACCTGGTATGCATATGTGGTCTGTGCATAGTTCATA